CGGCCTCGGGACGCACCTGGTGGTAGTGCATTCCCTAGGGGACATGAAAATGATAGGCTGGATTCACAGGACACAGGAAAGTGCTATTCTGCCCTAAGTCCCCGTTCACACCTTCATATTCTGTCAACTTGTCAACTTGCGCATGAAAAATGTATCTTCAGTACAATAAAAAACACTGCACATTTTTTTTTAAAAAGAAGCATAATTTTAATGGCATAGCTATAGGCAGGGGTGTGGAAGCTCGGCAAAACACGCATCACACATGCGCTTTGACACACGTTCACGGAATGTGGCAAAAACGCGTGTTGCGCTTGTGTTGCCATTACTTGTTTATGGCATCCCAAACGTAGACAGAAAAACCTGCATTTTTCCCACGTGTGGACGTGCATTAAAAGCGCACAACTTTGTGGGGGGAAAACGCAAAATGCCTGCAGCAGAATCTGTTGCACAAGCTACTTTCCCGCATTTGTTGCGTCACCCATTGATTTCAATGGGAGATGACGTGCTGCAAATGCAGGATACAACAAGTGTTCACAGAGGTATGAATGGAGCCTGAAGAGGACCTCTGGCACTGGACTGAGGGGGAAGTCAGGGACAGCATTATAACGTGTAGAGGGTAAGTCAAACTTGGCACTATTAGGGTGGCTTAACCTCCCTGGCGGTATGATTATGTCAGGAATTTTGTGCCAAAAGCGGTACAATTTTTTTATTGTCCGTGGTCACACAATATCCCTGGTTCAGCAATGGCTCCAGCAGTGTAAGGACAGATGATGTGGCCATCCCATAGCCGCTGTACCTGGGGTTGAACTTCGTGCCATCTGAATTCCAGATGTACCTAGTGGATGACTCGCAGAGCATAAAGGATTTGATGCCAAACCGCACTCTTATGGATGCAATGTACTGTATCCAGCTTAGGCGTCCCTTGTAGGCCATCAAACTTTCATCCACGCTGACGTCCCTTTCTGGCACGTAGGTCCGCTGGAAATTGGTCACAATCATTTGGCATACCTCCCAGATTTTTTTTAGTTTGGGCGCAGGATGCGTGGCCTCATCAAATTCTTCATTGTTCGTGAAGTGGAAATACTTCATGATGAGCGAAAACCGGCATTCTGACATCACGGTGCCAAAAAACGGAGTGGCCAGTAACTTATTGGTGGTCCAGTACCATTTCTGGAGCGGTTTCCCCACCACCCCCTGAAGAATGATGAGTCCCAGAAACTGCCAGATGTCCTCTTTGGTCACCGGTTCCCACTTTCTGCTTCTGGAAAACCTGGCATGCAGCGTAGCGGATTGCTGCTCTTGGTAGCGATTTGTCTCCGTGACAATTTTTTCAATTACCTCCTCAGTGAGGAATAATTGCAGGTATGCCAGAGGGTTGTCACGCTCAACATCTACCTTCATCCCAGGTGATCCAGTGAACGGGAATCTTGGGGGCGCTACCTGGTCCGTATCGCAGTCAATAGGGCACCAAGTGCGCACATCGCTGAGGTCAGGTGCAGGATCATCGCCGTTGTCACTTGCCAGATCAGTGTCAGACGTGTCAGACGACAAATCTCCCCACGACTCACTATCGCTCACTTCTGCGAGCACCTCCGTGTCGCTGTCACTCAACTGGTCCAAAAACGCTTTTGTAGTAACGTGGCGCTTTTTTGATGCCATGTTATAAAAATTTTATGAGCACAAATGACAGCACAAATGGCAGTAAAATGGCAGGCAAGGGGCACTGTATAGTTATCAAGTGTCAGATCTGAGGTGATACAGTGTAGTCCTCTCAGATTACACTGTATCAGCTCTTATGTGTGTTTCACTTTTGAATTTGCCGCCCAGTTCCGCTCCCATGCGCCGCTGCTGCTCGCAGGGAACGGAACCAGGAAGTCAGATGCCGGCTGGCGATCATGGCGGAGGACATAGATCATTCTCGCCGGCGATCATAGCGGATGACATCGCTGGATCGCCAGGAGAAGGTGAGGAAACTCCGCTGACAGCTCTGCAATGTTACCCCGAGCGTGACTCGGGGTTACCGCTCCTGGCAGAGAAAATTAACCCCGAGTCACGCTCGGGATTACCACCAGGGAGGTTAATAAGCAAAAAAAAAAAATTCCAGGGTTCCAATTTAAACAAAAAATGGCCCCCCTATAAAAGAGTAACTATTGTTGGTGCATTCAGTAAAAGGATCTGTCTCAGGAATCGAGTTTCTGGCTCATTATGAAAAGCTCAGTCAGGCTCGATATTAATTCAAAAATGATCCAGCAGACTAACAGCGCTTGATCTTTAACGTTTGTGTTTATAAGTCGGTCTGATGAAATCTACCTCAACACTGTATGAGCGGCGCTGCCAGTGATGTACAATAGGAAGTGACTGTGGAGAGGTGTTTACATAGTTCCACCGTTCCTCGCTGACATGAAGTGAACATTTGGCAACACAGTAAATTAATTTATTTACTTATTCCTGACAGCAAACCTCCACAGAGCTCCTTTATTAAAAATGAACTTGTTCCAGAACTTGAAAGACAATATATGTGATACTTTCTGCGGTGATGCTAACAGACGACATTGTCAGTTACAGTCGCGTCACATTGATCCGTAGAGTATGTTGCAGTTGGACGGCTTTGCTGACTCATTGATATACACGCTCTGTGGACACCAGCAGGCATCTGGTTGACTTTAGTTGGCTGTAGCGCTTTTATTTTGGCAGAACCTAACTTGTCAGACATGTTCTCGAGTCATCTGGTTGATTGAAACTATTTTACATGTCCAGATGGATGGTTCTCAACATGTGGATGTCTTTAAAGCCCAACTCCAAGGTTCTTTCCCCCACCACAGTGCTTGCCGTGGAGCCCCCCATCCCCAGTGTTTTCATTTAAATTACCATTTTCAAATGTCTTTATTCAAGTCATGTGATGGACAGATTCTTCTTAACCTCTTCTCAGAAGCTTGATGGTCCTTAGTGGTACAGAGAGAAGCACTTATGTGATGTCGTCAGCACCCCTGTCTACTTCATTGGACTGTGAGTGCAGACTGCCATGGTAATGCCTCCTCAGGGGTTGGTCCATGACACCCTGCACTCGCAGCATGTCTTAAGTCTTCTGGAAGACTGAGTACATTTTATAGCAATATAATAATATTTATAAAAAAATAGCAACTTACATTAAAATTTCAGAACATCGGCCGGTCACATAGAAAAACAGAGATAACGAGCTTTCGCCTGAAAGCCACTAGCACAGTACTTACTAGACAATGAAAAGATCTGCCCCTTGACGCGTTTCGTCACCTGATGTCTTCTGAAGGTTAACAGAAATTTTAATGTAAGTTGCTATTTTTTAATAAATATTCATTGTTGGATGTACCGCACCATGAGGGTTGTTTTTTCTCTCCCACTACCCTAAATAAAACACTGATTGGAACCGTACAATATCGCTGTTGCCCACGGATGAGAGGAGCCGGCACCTGCCTTTAACAGGGAGCCGGGACCTCCACGGAGACTGCAAGGGACAAGCGCTGGAAAGTGCTCGATCTGCTGTCGGGTGTTTTTCTTGAGGGAATTGGAACGGAGAGATTAGAAGCCTTCTGCTCCTGAGTGATTATATTACATATACTCACTGATTCTGGTGAGTACTGATTACCTGGGGGATGGTTGATTGGAAGATCGAACTTATAAGGACTTTATATTTATTTTCGTTTGCTTGGGGAATTGGACTCAATTGATTTTTATATATGTTTTTATTTATTTAGTTTGCACATTCAGTTTGTCTTATTGAGTACTTTAGATCTAATTTATTTCATATCTATATTAGTCTCTCACTTTGCAATTAATTGTCATCTGTCAAATTACATCACAAATCAGAAGTTTGGAGGAACTATTTGCACCTTATCTGTACAACAGTTTTTCGTTAATTTTATTTTATTAACGGTTTGACTCAAAGGTTTGAGGATTTGTCACTTTTTTACCGTTCACTTATGAGATATTTTATTGTTAACATTTTTTCACATTGTGTTGCATTGTATCCACGTAGAAGTCTATGCTCAGATTTATCAACACAAATGAGGTTTAGACACTTTGTTATCACTTGATTTATACATGAGTTGTATTTGATATTTTTTCATTGGGACGTTATTCACTTATATGTATATACACATATATACACCTTGAGAAGGTAACTAGTCCCCCAGTTCGGTGGATATATATATACCTTCAGAACAAGGCAATATATAAATTTATATTTTACACCTACTTTCTTACGGAATCCACCTTTAGCGCTGTGTTATCACTTGCACATTAAACAATAACAACTGGATGGAGTCGGCTCTAGTTTTGTGAGCGATTGCAGTGCGTTCCAGCAGCTACCACTCTGGAACGCACTGCAACAAGCCCTAAAACAAGCTATGCAAAACACTCACAGAATTTGGTTAAATTCTATTTAAACAATTATCACACAGAATACAGGTGAAACTCGAATAATTAGAATATCGTGCAAAGTTAATTTATTTCACTAATGCAACTTAAAAGGTGAAACTAATATATGAGATAGACTCATTACATGCAAAGCAAGATAATTCAAGCCGTGATTTGTCATAATTGTGATGATTATGGCTTACAGCTCATGAAAACCCCAAGAACCCCAAATCCACAACCTCAAAAAAGTAGATTATTACATGCAATCAATAAAACAAGGATTGTACATAGAACAATATCGGACCTCTGAAAAGTACAAGCATGCATATGTACTCAGTACTTGGTTTGGGCCCCTTTTGCAGCACTTACTGCAATTACTTTTGCACGATATTCTAATTATTCAAGTTTCACCTGTATATGCTGTATTGAGAACAGGTTTGGAGTGAACATTTGGGAGTGTTTTATGGTTTGGCCAGACCAAGGGCAATTTAGAAACTAACAGGGTTATTCACAAAAGGGTGAAGAGTTTAGAGAAGGTGGGAGAAGTGAACAATCTAGGACAACATTTCTAAACAATCTAGGACAATTTTTCTAAATCAGCTATTTTGGCCTAGATTGTTCCCTTCTCCTGCCTTCTCCAAACGCTTCCCCCTTTTGTGAATAACCCTGTAAATGAATGCAGTCCTGAAGTGACTTTCAAATTGAGATTTGAATTATAACAATAAGTGCAGTTTGCATTGCACAATGGATTTATAGTGGGTGATCACATACAATAAACCAGCTGGCACTGATTACTTTAAAACCGATACAGATGGCATAGACTTGATGATTGCCTGTTGCTGCTATCTGACATTCATGATGAAGGTGTACATGTGTTCCACAGATTTAGCTTTTGTATGCAGACTTTCATATTGTCACATTTTTAAAATTAAGTCTTCACCATCATAGGCTGTATCTATCCAAACCAGATAATAGATCACACTCAGATCTGTATCCTGTGGCCACTAAACTAGAGTGGGTGAAATACTTGCTATAATTAGTGATTTTCTACTCATTGTTACGCTAACACTGTTACTCCTAGGATTAGATCAGATTCAGACAGTGCTGAACGCAGGGCGTTGACAGGATTCTAAAATACCCAGAGCACCACGGGGGACCATGCCTATGATGAAAGGTTGAGTAGTTTTTAAAGTGAACAGTGCTCATGTCCTTTTCTTGTCTTGCTATGTCTTCAGTTGTTTCCTTCTCTTTGGTCTATACAACTTTTTTATTACTACCAGTGTCCTTTCACCTCCCCTAGCACCTAGAGTATTGCTCACTCAAAGAATGGGAGATACCTATCTGCAGACAAAGCCTTGTATGATTTTCAGACTTGGGTGTTGGGGAGAAGGTATATAAATGTGATGGTTTCTGCCTTTGGATCTAATCTTCTATAGAAAGAAGCAGTTCACTTTCTGACCCTTTCTAGGAGGTAATAGCTGCATGCAGGGCCGGATTTACTCAGGTTCCA